GAGCCACAGGGGCCACCAGTGGAGCAGCTGGGAAAGCCACAGAAGCTGGTGTGGAGGCAGGCCATGGTGTCAGGAGTGGGACTGAGAGCTGGGTAGCTTGGAGACGTTTCTAGGTTTGGGCTGTGACTTCCACCTGGGGCCTTTTATATATCTTGGCCAGCAGCTGTTTATAAAATTCTTAACATATCTTCCTTGTTTTTGTTTAAATTTGTTCCTCAGTGGTCCCCTGATTGGCGTACATTGAAATACTTGTTATGCATTATGAGTAGCAGTTTGAAAATTGCTCTGTTTTATAGTTTCATTAGGATTTGTCATATCTGTCTTTGCTCTGTGGAGGACGCCTGTGCTTTCCCATGTTCAAAGAGTCCTTCCACTTTAGTGCAAGCCAACAGCCTCATTTTTTTATAGGGAGTAATCCCACGTGACAGTGTGCCTGTATGTCTACAGTGAAGGTGATGGTATTCTTAATTCCTGTTTTTTTGTTTTCTTCCTGGAGATATCGGCTTCATGCCCTTGCATTTAGAACATCAGAACCTCGACCACGTTCAAGGCATACCTTTGGCCACATGATGAGAGGTGCCAGCTCATTCGCTCCAACATCACAGCAAATCAATACCATGACAGTTTTGTTGCTTTCAATGACTTTGCAATGTGTAAAATGAATTCATGTTTTCTGCTAGAAATCTTTTCCGTCGACTGAAACGACAAGCAAGTCTTCATGAGAGTATTCTGCAGAGGGCCTAGCTTGGGGGATGAGCTTCGTCAATGTCTACGGAAGACGTTTTTTGAAAGGCATGATCCGTGGACACCTGGAAGCACTGACGAGTGAAGTCGGCCGTGCAAGCCGTAGTTCCTCTCCTGAAGGGAGATCTTGTCATTTCTTGTGGAAGAAAGAAGATTAGAAAATATTGAGTGACTTCTTCCTAGACTTGACAGTTAACCCAAGGATGAGGAAGTACACGCACACCACACACATACAGACACACACACACGTTCTTTGAAGAGTACACTGCCATCTCGTTTTTTCCTTCTCCGAAGTTCTCCTTCTTGTACGTGATCCCTGGTTGCCACAGTGCGATGGCGGAGGTCAGGGCTGGGAGCTGGTAAATAACTGGGGACATAGGTATTTTAAAGTGCCTGGCATACTCCATCGTTTCTTGTGCATTTCAAACACTGCTTGATCGATGGATTGAAAAATAAGTGGACAAAGCGATTCTGGTTGCTGCTGTGCTCTGTGTGGACTTCTCTCTCTCTCTCTTTAATTAGCACAAACTTTTGACCAGCTGCTTGACGCTCTAAATGACAATTGAACATGTTTGCACTTGACGATTTGTTGTTGTGGCTCTGTCCCTTCAAGTCACTTCCGACCCACAGCAGCCCTCACAATTGTGTCTGAGCCGAGTTGCACGCACTGTATCAATCCATCTGGTCTGGGGTCACTTTCCTCCCAGAAAGAGTGACCGTCATGGACGCTCACAGGGGCAGTTCGACCCTGGCCTGCAAGGGTTGCTGTGAGTCACCGTCGGCTCGAGGGCCATGTGTTTGTTTGCTTCTGCTATTCTGGATTTTGTTTCTCCTTTACCAAGTATGATGTCCATTTCCAGGGGCTCGTCTCTCATGACACCATGTCCGAAGTATGTGAGACAAACTCTACTACTCTCGATTCTAAGGAGAAACTTGGTGCTATTTCTTCCACGACAGACTGTCATTTGGTTTTATTCTTCTGGCAATCCACAGTTCTTTCAATACTCCTCGCCAGCACCACCGATGGAATGCATGGATTCTTCTCTGGTGCTGCCAATCCACTGTTCAAGTCTCGCATGTACCAGAGGCGATTCAAGTACCATGGCTTAGTCTTCAAAATGGTGTTGTTTTTCTTCACCACTTTAAAGAGCAGTGATGTGCATCTTTGACTTCTTAAAAGAATTTTCTTAAGTTGGGTTGCAAAGTGCAAAAATACTGCATCATTATTTCAGGTTTCGACAGTCATCTGTCCCACAAATAGTGATGGGTGGACCCCGTACTCTCCATAATTATGCTACTTGCATCTAGACCAGAGACACACCTCACATGTGCTTAAAGTAATGGTATGTGGATTTGAGGAGTTGGAATATATTATTTGGATACCAGAGGAGGAAAGAATGTGATAAGCTAAGGCACAGGGAGGGGCAAAATGCTCTTGAGAATTGTAGCAGGTGGCTGTGTTTTCAATGCTTTTAGTAGGTAACGCATTTTCTTTAGATACTGGGTATGCATGCAAAAGAACATCTACTATATTATACAGAAAGAGATGAGAGATGTTGTCCTAACACCTAGATATAGGCATCCCATAGCTTTGATCAACCTAAAATTTTAGCTAATCTTATCCATCTAGACCTAACTGTAATATGTTAGAGCACATGAGAATTTAATGAACTATAAAGAGTATTTAATACACAGAGAATTTTATTAACTGATGTACTCAAGAATAATTCCATTTCTGTTTAACCTTTCTGGCTTATATTTTATGCAAATTCCTTGATATCATCTGTATTAGTCTAGGTACTTTGGAGAAACAAATCCATGGCGACTCACGTATAAGAGAGAGTTTTATGTAAAGAAAAGGTGCATCATGAAAACATCCCAACCCAATGCTGCCCAAGCCCACAAGTCCAACATTAACCCATTAACCCAACACCAGTCCACAAAGTCCTCCACCTCACAAAACAGAGGCAATGATGCCAACTGCAGGAGGAAAGCTGAGTCTGTGAACGTGTAAGCATCTCAGCACTAGCAGGGGTCTCCACACGGCTGCTCCAGCACCCAGGGCTGCATCGGGATAGATCCATGCAGCTTCTCCTTGGGGATGTCTTGGAGGAAGTCAATCTTGCAAGCTGAAGAAGGGAACTGCTAAGGCAGCTGCACCCGGTGCGACCATCACAAAACAAGAGACCCGAGAACTAGAAAGGCGAGGCTTCACCACCCATTTATCCCTCCGCCTTTCAACCAGCACCACATGTGATTATCGGCCAGGCAGGCATAATTAACTAACTCATCATCAAAAATGTAAATCCACTCTTCTTGAATTCCAGCTACAGGTACACAAATTCCAGCCAAAAGGAGGGCAGTCACTCAGTTTGCTTTGCAGAGTTAAAGACTTTTATTTGTAACTAACCGAAGACACTCAAGAAGAGAGCGGGTCCAGAAAGAGGTAGCCATGAAGAAATTAGGAGGAGACCAGGGATGCCCCTGAAATGAAGACCCGCCCATCCGGGGACCCTGCCAGGCAGGACACTCTGCTCAGAGACTATTTTCAGTGAGTTAATGAAGCACCTCCAAGGGGGCTCCTGAGACTTTTGTTTTTGTCTGGTTGAGAATCCCAAGTATTTCATTGAAAAATGGGCACTTAGGTGAGTGCCCTTTTGCTCACGCCTCCTCGTATTCCTAACTGATTGGCAACCTGGTCTTTAGCTCGTGGTCTCAGAGCAGGTGGTCTGGCAGCAGCAGGCTGGGCGGCAGGAGGACTGTCCACAGTAGGATGGGCGGCAGCAGGACGCCTGGGCATGGTGCAGCTGGCAGCAGGTTGGGGGGGTGCAGGTCACCACGCGGCAGGGGGGCAGGCTGGTGCCCTCCACACTGCAGTCTGGGCGGCACCACCTGACACGGCAGGTCAAAGGTCCGCTGCCACCCGCCTGGCCACAGCTGGTGCCACCACCAGTCCCACAGCAGCTGGTTTGGCAAGTAGACTGGCAGCATTTGGTCTCACCGCAGCTTGGCTGGCAGGCGCTAGAAGGAGATTTCCCATCTGTGGAGCAGCAGGCCATGGGGTCAGAAGTTGGGTTGAAGGTTGGGTTGCTTAGAGAAATTTCTGGGTTTGGGCTGTGACTTATACCTAAGACCTTTTATATATTCCTTAGAGCTGCATATTTGTATCACGAGTTAGCATCTGTCCTTGATACCCATGACAAAGTCAGTCTCTGATTGGTTAACATCTGAGTTGTTTAGCAAAGTTATAAATAGCCTTTCAACCCCCTGCTTTGGTCACTGCTCAATTAAGTCTTACTAAGCTTCTGCACCCCCTGGTCTAAGTGAAGCACCCCCATGGAAGCCAATCATGACAGTCCCTCTTAGTCACGTCACACGGCCGACAAGACCACTGGGCCACGGGTTGCTTTGACTCTCCTTGCCAAACATGTCCTTTGGTAACCTTTAGGCAGAGTTGGTCAGAATGGAGTAGTTCCATCCTACCTCGTCACCCAGTTCAGGATCTTGACATCGTAACCAACTGGGGAAGACTAATATTGGTTGTTATTAAAATATGAACGCTCAACTCCAACCACCAAAGGAAGGAGAACTTTCTGTGTTTGGTTTTTTTAAACCATGGGCCCTGAGACCTCTACCTGGTATGCTTGACTTCAGCCATCCGTGCCTGCCGTCTCAACCGAAGCCCATCCATCATGCCTTTGCTCGGAGAGGTTCTGGACTCTATTCAATTAACATACATACACTAATTGTGGATGAAGGAGTGCTGGTGGCACAAAGGGTAAGTAGTGCTCAACGGCTAGCTGCAAGGTCAGTGGTTCAAGCCCACCAACTACTCTGCCGGGGAAATGAGCTGTTGCCCCGCTCCCATGCAGATGATAGGCTAGGAAATCCTAAGAGGCCAGTTCTATGCGGTCAGATAGGGTCACTGTGAATCAGAGTCAGCTGCTGACGCGTAACAGCAGACAGAATCTGTAACAGACCAAGCAGTGCCACCGCCATGGAGTTGATTCTGACACACAGCTGCACTCGATGGGGCTTCTCGGGTGAAAATCTGTACAGGAGCAGGTAGCCTCATCTTTCTCTCAAGGAGTGGCTAGAGGGATTGAACTGCTGACCTTGCAGCTATCCATCCAATACTTACTCTACAGAGCCATCAGGGCTCCACGTTAAACAGTCAGAGGGATATAAAGTTAAATCAATATCCCCCCCTTTCTACTTCCCTCCCCAAACTAGAGGTGTGGATTTACTCAATGCCAACAGCTTGGTGCATATTTTTCCGCTCTTTTTCTCATCCTTCTGCAAATATAGACATACATTTTCTATTTCAATAAACTTTGGGTCTGCTATATGTACTTCTCATTCTTTTTCATGGCTGTACAATATCCCAGAGTGTGATCATATCACGAAGCATTCTGTCTTCTCTCCTCAGTACTTTTCAGGTTGTGGGTTTAAAGTACATAAACGCACACAAGTATATGTGTGAAATCTCTCTCTATATATATACACATATCTTTCACATAATATATAATAGAGAGAAATCCTTGGTGGCGTAGTGCATTGGATGTGGGGCTGCTAACCACCACTAGGTCAGCAGTTCGAACCAGCAGAAGCTGCAGCTTTCCAGAAGATGAGACTTTTTACTCATCTTGGAAATCCACCAGGGCAATTCTACTGTGTCTTCTAGGGTTGCTATGAGTCTGAATCAACTTGGCAATAAGAATACACACACACACACACACACACACACACACACACACACCTGAAATAGAACTTAAATGGGGTTAGGCTGAGGCTATTAGGAAGGGGTCACATGGTATAAGGGACTAAGCTCAACTGAGAATGAATTAAACTAAATAGGCTTCTGAAATTGGCTGCACTCCCAATTGGCCGTGTGACCTGAGACACGTCCCTAAGTCCCTGGAGCGCATTGGTTTGTTCATCTGTAAAGAGACACCATCTCTCAGACATCATCCAGGGCTAACATTGTTCAATTGCTCTATCTGGTCATTCAAGCCTCAGAGGCATGCGCTGCCCAAGCTGGTCCCCCTTGGTATCCTACACAGCACCCACCCAGACCACGCTGCTGGAAGACGCGCACCCAGTGCTTGCTGAATAAATGAATGGATGCGTGCTCAGCGGGGGTCAGTGATGAGGAGAAGCTGAGTTTGCGTTTTACCACAGTCACCTGCCGATGTGTTTTATTTTCTGCCAGGTGTGCTGGCCTGTGACAGGCATCGCATAGGACCCAGGGGCCCAGAGAACAGCACACTTTTCCCCCTTGGCTCTGTGATTCCAGGGTCATTTCTGAATTATTTTCAGGAAATGAATTCTTTGCTTGCATGCCATCTTTTACTCAGGCTTTCTGATCTCCCCCTTTTAATTAGCCCTCAGATGCATAAATCATTGCAGTTTTACCCAAGGTCCTATTTTCATTAGCAAACACCTTCGGCTCCTTGAGTTGAAAGAACCAAGAAGCAACCCTGATCCTGCCTGGAAACGTGTGGAACCTTCCTTGATACTTGCGTTTAGGCGAGTATAAACCAATGTGTGTGTGCAGTGTGTATACAAGCACCTTTACATATAACAAACATACGCCTATGTCTGTTCAGGTAGCACTTTAAACTAGATCGATTTATTCTAAAAGTAGAGCTGAACTTGCCTTTTGTCCACTTCTTACTGAGACAGCGGGGGCGGGGGAGAAGTTTGGAGCACAAACGTTGGGAGCATATTTCCCTGGGGAGACGTTGCTGCCTTTTCTCTCTCACTCTACCCAAAACGCCACGTGGGATTAATGCCACGTGGGATTCATGGTCGCGTACAGTACGGACGGTCAGAGAGACGAGTTCTCTGAGCAGAGCAGTCGGCAGATTCACCACGAGAGGCCACGGTTCTGGCTTCTCCAACCCTCTGGCTGTGAAAAGGCCGTGGGTGATCAGGAAGTGGTAGGGGGCCACCCACCCCAGGGTGGGTGGGGGTGCTTGGCAACCCCAGTTACTGTATCTTTTATGGGGATGCGCCTCCACTGGACCCAATCCAATTTCCTGGCATGAGAGATCAGAACGGTGGGGCCAGGTATCAAAAACAAATTAAATCCACACAGCATTGCTTAAAATATGCACCGTGAGCACACTCAGTGATGAAACAAAGACATATTTGCTACATCAGACTAATATAATTTATTAGCTGTTGGTACGAGTGACATCCCCACCTCATAGGAAATGCCTCTGCTGGATCTTGGGTTGAAGAAGGTGAAGGTTGCTGAGAGGGACAGGAGTTTCCTGAGCCTTAGAGATAGGGTCCGATACCTGCTGAGGACCAGTCCCCTAGGAAACTTGTTTCTCTGTTTCTTGAGTTGGATTCGTATTTTGGCGTCCTCAGTAGAGAGAAGCTGCAGTGTCAAATGGGATCAGATAGGTCTCCGAGGCTTCCTGACAAAATCAAATGGAAGGTCAAGAACTTGCTAGTGGTCCAGCAGCGTGGCCTTTAGCAGGTGGGCTCACAGCAGTAGCAGCAGCAGGCTGGGCGGCAGGCCGACTGTCCACAGTAGGATGGGCGGCAGCAGGA